CCCTCTCTCAATTTTCTCTTCACAAAAAAAACATAATGGTGTGGAGAGGATGGCTACAAGGGGAGAAGGGAGACGATCAATAAAAAAAAGATTTAACTGAGTTTTAAGTAAAATTTACCTGATTTATTCACAAATCTTTAACTATATTCTTAATAACTTTTACTAGATAATGATGAGTAAATATTACTTGAATTTGTAGCATTTAAATTTACTTAACAAACGTTAGTGCAAATTGGTACCAGGATTTTTTTTCAAGTAAATCTTACAAGTTGCTTTTATCAGTGTACTCAAAACTGTCTCTGTGGATCATTTCTACATTTGTAAAGCATCTGCAGAACAATATCCTGAAGAGATTACTACATGACATCATGCATGTGATGTGGTTGGTTTTATTATCACTCTACTCAAATAGACAACCAAGAACAGATCTGTTTGGTTTTGTTTTGTTTTGTTTTCCATCAATAAAATATCTTATTTGTAATGACCAATCTAAAGTCACTTATATAAATACCAGAACATGTTAAACAGCTGTTACCCATATATGAGTTCTGGTGCGTTGGTGCTTTGTGTATGTGTGGGGGTCATAGATGCTACAGCTATGCAGCATCCAGTTCTATTACTGTACAAGTTGGCTTAGATGTGTGTGTGGGTTTCCACAGCTTCATTTCTCAAACAATCCTTTTTATATTTATTAAAACACCTTCTCTGTCCTGCTGTAAGTCCTACCATTATGATGGTTTTATTGTAACTGAGCATAACGGAGCATTTCCTCACCAAATACGGCAGGTAGACAAACAGAGAAAACCAGTCATGTTCTTAAAAGTTAAACTGTCGGTAAGAGAAGTTTACTGCTAACGTTCTGTAAAGTTTATATTCTCTGTGTGCATCTTCTCCAGTTTGCTCCTACAGATCAAAGGTGCTGATAAATTCATCACATTTCCTAAAAATATTTTTTTTATCTTAATCAAAGAATTTTTCAAGTTTTTCAGAATTTGTTGTTTCATCAGTGAAGCCAGTTATTTATTCGTTTATCTGTTGTATTTATTTGTTTGTGTGCTCTGTGTTTGCTGCGTGTGTTTAGGTATAAGTCTCTGTGTCCAAACACGTGGCCTAACTGGCAGGGGAAGCTGTCTGATGGAGTGTCCACACTGGTCAAACATTTGGGCTACAAGCCTGAGGAGTACAAACTGGGCAGGTGAGCAGCACACGTACAGATCCCACAGAGCTCAGATCAGTCAGTCCCAGCATACAGTTACCTAGGCCTGTCGCGATAGTCAATAAATCAATTAATTGCACGATAAGTTATTTTGAGGTCGGTAAAAAAATGAGGACAATAAGTTTTATTTTCCTGCTTGTTTGTTTACTTCGTCTCTCTCCCTATCTGTGCTCCGCTACTCAGGAGCTCAGCTGACTCCTCCCCTCCTGTTTTCTTAGTGTGGGAGGAGTCAACTCTCGCTTTAGCRTGAGAGCTCGTAGCAATAACAAACTAAAGAAACGTTTCAAAGCAGAACGTGGCTGCTGCAGTGTCAGAGAGAGAGAGAGAGAGAGAGAGAGAGAGAGAGAGA